AAGTCTCGGCTTGGATTCGGTGGCCTTTCCTCCGGCTGCTGGGAACAGGCCCCGGCTCATCATTGCCTGTTGCTGTCGAAGCATTTCCATGTAGTCACTCTGATAGAGAGGGGCTCCGGGGAAAGGAGTGCTGAAGCCATAATCGTATGCTGACGCAGTCTGGTAGTTTGGGTAGAACGCCATAGCTGCTGATGTGACAAAGTTGGCCAAGCTCGAGGGTAGACCGTTCAACGGGGGGGCTCGGTGGTTAACACGATGGCGATGGTAACGAATGTGTGCAGAGCGAGTGTAGAACCAGTGTAGTAACGGGGATAGGCATGCGTATTATGTTCTCGGCAGTGTTTAGACGCCGCAGGATCAAGTCTTCAGAACCAGAGATTTGAGTGAAAGAGTGACTGAGGTTAGAGGGCTGAGAGCCTGGTGATATTAAGAGAGATGTGAAGAGAGAACGTGGGTGTGAGAGAGGCGCGGGAATCGGAACAGCAGATCGAGGGGAGCTTGTCTGCTTTTAGATCGAATGGGGAACGACAAGCGGGATGAGGAAGGGTCAGGCAGGGCCGCGCAGAGGTGAGACAGCAAGGTCTGCTCAAGTCCTCCAAGGTCTTGAGGGCGAGATAGTCGATCTGTCTAGGCAAGGGCCTGTAGGCGCACAGACGAGGCTTGACGAGAGAGAAAGGGCACAAAAAACAATGACAGGAGGAGTGGGAAGAAGGAGTGACGGGAGAGGAGGGGGGTGAGAGGCGGAAGATGTATTGATGTGTCTTGTCAACCCATCATCACAGAGCGAGAGCGCTGAGAGAGAGTGTGTGTGTGTGCGTGTGCAAGCCGACGTGGGTGTAAGTCGCGCGGTACTGTGTAGGTAGGCGCTGGGGTGGCGGCAGGGCATGGGCGAGCACCAAGAAGGGGGGCCCTCTCTCATCGTCCACCGGGTACCCCCCTTGGCAGTGAGAAGATCATATTTGGGTGGAGGTATCGGGAGACCAAGGGAGCAAGGGGGTCAACTCTCTTGACTCTCAGGCCCTGGGAGGAAGAGAAAGGGGAGGGTCATGGAGGGTCTCTAGGGGCCAGGGCAGGGCAGACAAGGCAAGCCAGCAAAGCTAAGGTAAGGTAAGGTAAGCAAAGCAGCGGAGAGACAGGAAAGGACAGGACATGACAGGGCTCGAGCCGCGGTCAGTTGTGCATAAGGCACAGACTGTGTATCCATACGGGTAGACTGTGCTGAGCTATGCAGGTAGACCCAGACCAAACCTTGGGCCTTGGGCCTTGAGATGAGGATGAGGATGAGGATGAGGATGAGGTGCCGCGGGAGAAGCGGACGTGGCCGGCGCAGAGCGAGGGGACAAGCAGGCTGTGAGAGTGAGAGTTAAAGTGAGAGGAGAGCCGACGTGTGGATGAGGGTGTATCCATGTCAGCACAGCGCCTGCGCGAGTGTGAAAGAGAGGGGGGGAGGAAACTACACTACATGTCGAGGATGCATTTGAGTGACATTGGGGGATTTGTGCAGTGAGCAGCGGCATCAGCAGCTGGACTCCTCCGAGTCTCCGACTCCAGCTTTGGAGTATGAGTGAGTGCATGAGTGCGTGAGTGAGTGCGAGGACGAGGACACAGGACGGACAGGAGCAGGGTGGTAGGATGGTTGCACCCACCTGAGCGAACCTGAATTGAGAGTGAACCCTTCACATCCACCGGGCATCCACACGTCCCATTCGCAACCCATCCCATCTCATCCCACACCCCCTAGTTCAGAATCCTGGCCCCCCCCGGCCCCGGCGTCAGTCCCGACCCCTGGTCCATGAAGCGTCTTTGCGTCCCTGGGTTTGGACGACGCCCCCATGTCAGTTGGTGCCACACTAAAAACTTTGGACTCGACTCCCCTGCTCGGGCTGAAGATAGGCCCGGCAGGCGTGGACTTGGACGTGTATCCGTCGACTACGCGGGCGAGGCCTCTCGGTGATGAACGATGGCACTTGTCAAAGCCTGGAAGTTTGTACCGTCCGTGACAAGGCCAACGACTGACAGACTGAATGACACGGCAGAGACAACCCGCCAAAAAGGACGAGAACAAGACATTGTAGGATGACGAGTCAATGCGCTGTCAACCATAGGAACAGTACACCGTACGGAGAACGGCATGACTGAGGCAGCGTAGAAAACGAGATGAGCATGGCATAACTAAACAATCGAGGGGTGATCTAGAGTAGAGAGAGAGAGAGTCGGGACTTTGACGGGCAAACGGACAGCATCCCGTCGGCTTCGAAGGGGCTCTGAAAAGTGGCGAGAATGTGACCGAAAGGGACAGGCAGTGTATCGACTTGACTCGACTCAACCGGAAGCCGGAAGGGGTAACGACGAGAGGGCAGTTGAAGAAGTGGTTCAGGTTGTGGAGGGCAGAATTACAGAGAAGAAGACGACGAGACAGGCGGGGCAGGTCAAGCCGGACAGGCACGACGATCCCAATGGCATCATCTGATCCGAAGAGGCGAAGATAGCTGAAGTCTGTGCTGCGTCGATGAGTGTTACTGTTTGTACCGAGGAGTGTGTGTGTGTGTGTGAAGGTGTGTGTGAGTGTGTCTTGTCCATTGTCTGTGACGGGCAAAGATGAAATGAAGCGTAGGAAGAAACTTCGGATGAGCTCGCACCAGACACAAGCTACAGGATCTGGGTGTTTATGCCGCTGCGGCGTGTAATTTGCCGCGTTGCACTTGCGCAGACAGCAGGCGCTACTCTGTGCATTGGTTTCTCTGGGCGGTGGAAGAAGCGTTTTGTTGAAGCTAAAACAACAGGATAGAGCGTAGAGAGAGGGGCAAAAATGTTTTCTGAGAGGGGGACGGGCGCGGACGGCTTAGTTAGTTGCCGGGTCGAGTTGACAAGTCCGGCCCTTGCTTAGTGCTCACTAGACGATTGGTAAGATGAGAGTTGGCGCGATGCTCCAGCTCCAAAGTCTGAGAAGTCAAGGAGTACAAAGTAGAGAGAAAGTCCCTTCCCACTTTCTCACCTTGGTTCCCGCAACTGCTCGTTTGTGTACCTCGGTAATGACCAGTGACGATAAATATCAAGCACATGGATGAACTGTGGCAGACAAGATGAAGAAGACATGCAAACAAGAGAGCGATTGAGAAAGAGAGTGAACTGGAGGCATTGAGATGAGGCCGCAAAGGTGTATTGAAAGGAAAGGTACGAATACAGAGTAAGGTCAGGTACTTGCGGATGCCTGAGTGTAAGGGAAGGTACCTTACCTGTGTACGGAATACTTTACAGACTAAGGTAAGGAAGGTATGGATAGTAATTAATTACGAGAACGCATAGACCATAGTGCTATCCGTTCCTATCTTATGTCAGCACCTTCCCCCGCTGACACACGTGTTGGTCGGGGATGATGGAAAAGATACCTGAGACTTTGTCTCCTGCCTTAGGTAATTCAATGTCAGAACATCAGGTTGGAAGCCCAGGTCATGTGGTTTGTCTTCAGGGCAAGGAGGTATCCGTATGGAGCACATGGAGCTCATGGAGCACAGAGTACGTATGTAGACAAGGTACCTCCACTCCACTTGAAGCTTCCTCCCCCACCTTCGTCCCCCTTGGTCTACTTGTACTGCATCTCACTCTGCCTGTCCCTGCGCCCATCTCCACCGACAGGCTAGACAGTATGGCATTGATTGACGCGACCAAGCATCACACGGACCATTTGGATAAACAAGACGAGAGACCAACGGGAAGAGACATAGCGACTGTCTAATTGCACACACTATCCGCTGTGCCCGGTCGAGAGACAGTGCTCAAGACTGTGCGGGCTGTCTACGATCACTTCCCCCCAACTGTCAACGACATTACCTACAGTAACCCATCGACAAGGCGAGGGCTTCACTCTCTTCCATCCTAGCCTCGCTCCGATTCCAAGGGGGAAACAAAACTGAGGGAGAGAGGAGACTTACATCAAGGGACGCATAGGATCCATCAATAACCCACAAGATCGAGATTCATCATCATCCCATACGACATGACACGAGAATACGCGCCTGCTATGGCCTCGTCTTGTTGGATTTGTCTGGCTCCGGTTCAGCTCAGCTGTGCCGGCGGCCTACCTTGCCCGAGCCACGGAAGCAGAAAAAAAACACACGGACTCGTCGACGCATCTCGTGCTGCGCTCCCCGGAAGCCTGTGCAACACTACAAAGTGCAAGCTGGGAGTCTAGAGAAAGGGAATCCCTTCCAGAGGAACGTCGACGGCAAGGTTCAGGTGCATTTGCCGCAAAGTTGCGGCCCCACTGAAGAAAGTGTGGCAGGTTGAACTTATCAAGGTACACTTGCCGTGACTGGCTTTTCCGCTGCATTTCGCGGTCCCAACATGGAAATCGACAATCTGAAAGGAATGGAAGCTGCGGGCTAACACCTACCTTTTCCCCTTCGGATACGGATACCTTGCAGTCGCCTTTCAGCTTCAGAAGGTGCTTACACCACAACCCGCAGCACGGCACTTCAAGAACCACCAACCCTGCACCTTTCTGAACAGATGGGATGCCAGCCCAAGATACAGACTACGGGATACCTACACCTTTACCCTACGGACACACGCCATGATAGCGCTCTTTGACAGTTCTTTGCTCCCTCGAGTTTCGATGACAACTTCATGCGTTTGAGTTTGGTAGCCCGTCCCGGTCCACCTCGTTCCTCTTGAGCTTGGGCCGTCACGTCACTTTGCCATCGTCATTTCTGCAAAATGAACCACCCAAGTCGGCTTCTTAGCCCTCTCACGACCTACAGACGGACTGCCTATTCAGCAATCCGAGCAGCCTCACCATCACTCAATCCTTGCTGCCACAGCCGCTGCCCCCCTCTACCCACACGGATCGACAGCCTACTTTCTTCTTCTACGCCGCAAATGGCGGCTTTGCGGTATCCGGCTCTACCTATCCTTGGCCTCCCCCACGAGCTCGCGCTTGGTTTGCGGTTTTGCTCTGAAAGCCTGCGATAGTGGATAACTACGTCGCTCTCTGTCTCGGGTTATTGCAAATCCCCATCTGCCTTGGATATGCAGAGTACAAACACACTTGTCAGGCAGCGTGCAGGACAATCGCAGGTCTCAGTCGGGTGCCAGCCGCCAACATTGTCGACATCTTGGTCCAAGGTCGACATGGACGGGCTACCACCGATCGCCAGGAACGGTACTGACTAGAGCCATGTCACAACAACACATGCCCGGTGCGCCACTGCGACCTCAGTCCGCGTCCACACAGCCGTCCACTTCCCGCCCGCGTTACGACGGCACCCAAAGCACCAAAGCAAAACCACGACACCGGATCAGAATTCACCAACCATATCTGGCCAACTGAGCAATCATCTTTTGCCGTCCCAACCTGGTTTGGCCAGCCTGCCAGCCCATCCTGTCCAATCCGAGCCCATTTAATCACATCCGTCCCAACCTGAGCACCGCTGGTGCATATCTCACCCGGGGCGCCTGGAGGGTGCCTCCTGCGCAATCGTCAGAGCAGACGGCAGTCATCGTCAGTCGTGCCTCTCTCTTGCTTGCTCTCAGCAGCCTGCTTGCTGTGAGGATACATGACTGCCCATGCTGCCACGCGACAAATGGAGCAACCATTGCGACCATTCCCGGCCTCTGAGGCCCGCCGCTGCGCAGACCGACTGTCGCTTTTGTCTGTCTTTTGCTGCTCCAAGGCCGGGCCTGGACAAAAGGAGAGCAGAGACGGCGATGAATTGGGACGATTTGCTTTGGGGCCCTCCTCTTTACTGACCCTTTCCGACATCTGCCCCGGTCAGACTGCCAGAATAGGCCGCTGCGATTCGTGGGTGCAAGCGGCCCCTGTCGTTTTGCTGTCGCCTGCCCCTTGAGCCCGGCCGCGCTAACGCAGCTCAACGACGCCAAAATCGCGTCGGTTTTTTTTTCTTCCCTCTTGGGCTTACCGGGGATTGGAGGCTTTTGCAGTCTCGCAGCACGTCGCTCGCTGTGATCAACTGACAGGATGGTGGGGTGCCTCGCTGTCCCACGCTTTCCCGATTCTGCTCAGCGACTCCCAAAACGCAACGCTGCGATGCAAGTCTTGGGCAGCCACTGCAGCTGCCGCATCGCCAACCTCGAAAAGAGGAACGCTGACAGTTACTTTGGGTTGGCCTGCCTGCGAGGATCACCACCTCCTCCGCTGCCGGAAAACTACCAGTACCAAAGGGGCAACTTCATCACCACCAGGCGTCACCGTCTTCATCCTTACAGGACATCAAACAGCCCAGACATGTGGCCGAAGACGCCCAGGGCAGACGCCGGTTCCCTTACTCCAGGTACCAGCCGCTGCTCCCGCAGGCTAGTACAATGGGCTCCCCACCCGTTTTCCGCTCGTCTCACTCGGCAACGCGTTGGTTCGCCAGGTCGCCGAACCTTGACAAGTTGACAATGGGCGAGCCGCAAGCCTATTCCTTTTTTGGCCGAGATCCAAAGGAGGAGAGACAACTCACTCTCAACGCTGTTGATTTTCAACTGGTAGTCACTGGTGTACCGCTGCTGCACAACAAAGGAGACGCGATGCACTGATGTGGCCCTCTGGCCAAAGCAACTGTCACCGGCAGGCACACATAGTTCTCCACGTCAGATCTGTGTGCGGTATCCGTACATAGCTTATAATACCTATGCTGGTTATGGATACACAATCATCACTTGTTCGGCTTTCGTACTGTCTGCCACAACCCGTCGTTTCTCTCGAGAACTGGACTGCTGCGACTGCATTTGTGGGTGGGCCCATCAGAACTCCGAAAGACAGGGCAAGGACGCTCCGCGGTCTGTAGAACTGACATCCATGCACCCATGCTGTATTCGTACGGGTCAAGGAGACATCGGCCCATCAACTACGGAGTAACATGGAGGGAAATCGTCGTGCGGTGTACCGCGTTTTCGGCGTTAACCCAACCTGGCCTTGTTGCCTCCTACGAGGTACGGACCATGTACGGAGTATGTACGGAGTACTGTTCGCGGATTGTGGTCGGAGCCCGTTGTACGAGTACTTACTTATCACACTGTATCTGACTTGTCTTGACCTGCAGCGGAACACTTTTCTTCTTCCCCGCGAACTAGGCGTACCGCCGGATGCACACATTGGACGCTCTTCTATATCTGCCGTCTGTCGTCAGATACACAACGACCGATTGATCCATGTCCTTGCGCTGGTCAGAGAGCGACACGGGCTGAAAATTTAGCCAACGGATGTAGACTTGCAGCTTCAGCTCCTCCTTCGCATGATTTTTACCTACAGAATACTTGGGCTGCTGGCTTGTTCAAAAAAAAAAAATGATACTCTCGGCCGTACGAGGCGAACAGGAGCATGCATGGTCAGGTGTGGTTCCATCACGGCGCCGTTGCAGCAGAGGACCAATATACATCTAGGAATAGCACAAAGACTTTCAACTACACAGTCACATAACGTACCAAGCCTTTGGGAACGTAAATGGCGTCTCTTGTGCACAGTTGAAGCAATCGCCATGGGGGTCCCTCGCCGTCGATCCTCAGCCAGCAGTAGCCCGGACAAGGCCGTGAGATCGAAGGGCCAGCCAGCGAGGCCGGGGGAGCGGGCAACGGCTTTCATTCCACATTCAGATGTAGCGTCTTTACGCTACGGGAAGTTTTCCCTCGAAGATTTCCGCGCCTTTGGTCTGAAGCTAGCCGGGTTTCATTTCTCGTCGAAAAGTCATGGTCCCTTGACAATTGGTGGTTCGATTCGGTTCTCAAACCAGACACTGGGGACATATCCACGTTCTGGGCAGCGACCCTTTTTCTAGATTGCTCGACAGCAATGGATGGGTCATCACTTGAGCCGACACCGCCACAGTACCGCTGCAGGGGTGCAAACAACAAAGACACGCGAGCTGCTATTCCTGAAACTGGACTCGCAATATGGGAAAGAGAAGTCTGCGATGCTCACGGAATTTGTGTGCTGGGGACACACAAATGTGTACAACGATTTCAAGGCCACTCACCAAGCTTCGTGGTCACTCGAACGCAATGTGGACTTGATCCAGGAGTTGCCTTCGGAAACCTCCGTTACCATGAATTCCAATACCGAGCATGGATATTCAGCCTGACCGAGATACTACGATTTCCTTCACTGACAGCCCAGACGGCGCAATCTGAAGTCACATCGCGCTTTCCAAGCATCTATCCAAAAAGCGGCTGATCCCAGGCATCCCAGACCAAGTACTAGAGCGCAGACGTGTGGTTGGCCGCTTTCCACTGGGTGACAGTGCTAAGTAAAACGAGGCGCGCAAACCTGGGCCCGCCACAGGCCTCGTTCGTGGGATTTTCTTAAGATGTGCATGTTATAGGACCCCCTTGCCTAGAAACAATCGTTCTGGGGATCAGTTATGCAGTACGCGCACATCACAACGCAGCATCTTCTCACATCGTCATGTCAGGAAACGAGGCCACGAACATCAGCTACACTGGAAATGTCGCCGTCATTGCGCAGATTGTCAAGTGTGATCGGGCTTCAGCCCACCTTTCGCCCACTTCAGCCTACGCTGCCCAACTATCTTGGCTCACTATCCCGGGACATGTTCGCCATGATGTCGTGTATGGCGATCAGCTAGGAATCTTGGATGGCTGATTGGGCGTTCATCTCTTGCTCGATACAGTTTGACACTGTCCGGGAGTAAAGTTCCCCGGAGAGGCGCGGCGCCTCTTTCTGTCGATCTCTGGAACTCGTCTATGGCAATCACCAAGTCATCGTCGCCTTCACTCTTCACCCTGTCTTTTCACAGGAAAACTGCGTACGACACCTACATTACCAAAGTTTGGGACCGAGGCAGTCATTACAAGTCAAACGGAAGATAGTTGGATACGATTCAGCTGGTCCGCACCCCCGCCAAATCATGCACAGATTCGATGCGGGCGAATTGGATTCATTCGGGCCGCCAACCGTGCCAAGCCAGCAGACAGCAAAGACCAAAAGTCACACAATTCGCCTTGTCATGCTTGACAACTTGGACGTTCCAGGCCGCAGTCTCAACAAGAACTTCTTCCGCGATCTCGGTCTCACTGGGCCTAGATCGTGCACACAGTGAAGTGCGGAAGACGGGATGCACTGCGACACAGGACCAGAACATACACGCGGCAGCACACCTAGCTAGACTGTAGTGTGGGGGCGTCTCCGGACCATCGCTCATCCGTGGGCGTTGTAACCTCACCACTGAAGCCGCTTCGCGATTCTTTAAGGTGGACCCTCTACGGAGTACTACCTAGCCCCAAGACATCGTTGGCTGTCCTTGATGTCTAGCCAATGCTGCACCTGAGTCCCGTTGGAGGGCGGAGGCTGGAATTCACGAGATGCGATTGGCGGCAGTGGACGACAGCAAGCAAGGCAACGCAGGTGCAGCGACTGGAGGCGGAATTTCATGTCCTCAACAAAGCCTTTTCAGCAGGGTCGATTCGATTGATTCGCCTTCAGTACCAAGCGATGCATGGCCCTGCGAAGGGCTGGGGGCCCAGAACGATTCGTCGATATGTCACCCTTTGGGCAAAGGGCAAGGTCAGTCTACGACGTTGCGCGAATTCATCAGACACGCCGCTTTTCAGCGGTCTTCGGGGCAAGGCGGGACATGAGGACAACGGCGCCGAACGGTATATGGCGTTTCCTGGAGAGCGGAACGCTTGTAAAGCTAGCAAAGCGGAAAGAAGACGTTGTCTCACTTCGTCCCAGATACTTGGCACCTTTGTCCGTGCCGATTGGGCGGCCTACGACTGTCAGTCTTAGTCTTTGCTACAACACGCTTATCACGCATCACGTCGGCGTTTGACGAGTAACTCTAGCCTCTACGGAGTACTGCGAAGCAGTGCTCTCCTGACGTTGCGCTATGGCTAGAGCGATCTGAAAATCCAATCCTTGTTCGCTGGCTCGGAAAGACTTGCTGATGCCAATGTCTTCACGTCGAATTGCCAAGCGAAGATGGACCGGATCAGTATCACCGGCCAGAGGAGCTCGAACAGACAACGACAGGCCGATGAGCGGCGAAGCGAGGGTATTGTATTACGATGCCGGATTGATCATCTCACCGTTTTTTCACCGACGCCTGTTGCACAAGTCTCTTTCTCAGCATACTATGTAAGCTCTGTGCAATATACGTACTTTATCGGTAAACCTCTTTCTTCCTCCCCTGTTCGAACTTGTTGATGGTTTGCCGAAGTAGGTACTTCTCCCGGCGGCTCTCAAACGCCATACTGGATCAGGCTGCGCCTCGAGATGTCGAAGTAATCTGCTCGTCAGACATCTACCCGTCGTTCCACTCTGACGATTTGACGAACCCTCCCCCGGAGATGATATTCGGCAAGGAAGACATACGGAGTACCATGTGGACTGGATGAGTTCCGAGTGTAACCACTTCTATTTTAGTGTCTCCCTGCAAGGACGAAGAACCCGACGCCGTGGATGAAGTTCAAGGTGTTCGCGGAGAGCGACTAACTTGCGGAGTACGATCAATCGGCTCGCCATCGCTCAAGCTTCCAATCGTCCAACGCAGGAAATTTGGACGACAGATGCCCACCATATGCTACCGAGCCGGCATTGGAAAGCTACCTTCTGGAACACGGGAAACGAGAGAGGACGCAATTGCCTAGTCTAGTATCGAAGACGCCGGCGGTTCACGCCAGTGTCGAAGGCGTGACGCCAGCAAACACCACGGAACACCCACGCAACACACAAAATGCCAAGCGACTGAGATAGCGTGCAGGAAGACTTCCACAACGACTAGAGGAGTCATGGCCATGCATGGCTCCAACATGCACACGGGAGATGAAGCCTTTTTTTTTCTCTCTTCCCTTTCATGATATGCACAAGAAAGGGGTTCGGTATCCCTCCAACCTTGGCTCCGGACAGCGGGCACTGGAAGAGAGATGTGATTACAGACGACCTCTTGCGGTAACATCGCCGCAGAAAACCCCCAAGAATCGATTTTTTGGTGGCTGCGAGTACTCGAGTTTATTAAAATGCAATGACGATACGGAGTATACGAGGCAGAGAGTGGCTTGGTTAATCAACAGGTGTATAGTGGCATCCATGATCCAGATCCTGATCAACTTTTTTTTTGCTCCAACGTCCAAGGTGGAAACAGCGGCAAGCGGGAGATTGGGATCAAAATCGGGCCCTGGCGGCCACGTGCGGTGCCGACAGTGACGACTGACGAGATGGATGAGGTGCCGGCCCTGCCCCTGCGCTGTGGAGGGGGCCAAGGACAAGGAGTCTGCGAGGGCTCGTTTTTGTTCCTTCACAAGTTCACAACCAGGCATGGGATGATGGGGGCACGGGGACAGCATGCCGGATTTTTTCCCCCTTCGTTATGCGCACAAGCCGCAGGCCCATGCTTCTCATTAAACTCGACCAAGGGTCCTCGTCACGGCCGTAGTAAAGGGACCCGTGGAGGACGCGTGCGACGCAGACAACACTTGCATTCGACTGGGCTGGTGCGTGCTCTAGTTTCCACACATTTTACTTGTACGGACAGTACCCCATCTCTGCGACGACACAATTTCCTTCTCGCTCGCTAAACTGAGCACAGCCTCACGACATGGCCACCTCGAGTCAGTCTTGTTCAGTCCGCTACCGAGTACCGAGCCGGTGCAAACAATGCGGATACTGCCGGACGACGTCTATCGTGTTGGAAGCCTTGGAACCTTTCTCTGGAGCTCTGGAGACAGGTGGATGCCGGATGCTAAACGCGCGAAAACAGAAGCCGTCGCCGGGAAGCATACACCAGAAGCCCCCCCCCCCCCTTTTTTTTTTCCTTTCCTTTGACAGCCGCGCGGTTTTGCCTGCCGGCCCGATGACCTGCGTCGGGTCGGCGGCCTTCGCTCGCCAGCTTACACTACTCGAGCGCTCCAACGCCATTCGGAGCTGTCACCGTCAAAGGACTCGTTACCCAGGGAGGCATGAGATGTATTCCGTGTTTCAATCTCCTCATGAATTGTCTCGTGGTGACAACTATGCTCAAAATGAGATTGCTGTCATCCCTTCCGGTGTTCTGCTAGCGCGCCGCCTCAACGATATGGAGATGTAGCTCAACCGACCCGGCCCTTCGTGTACCTGCAGCATCAAAGACCGTTCGAAAGTAAACATCATACTAAGCCTGGAGGCTGTCCACATCAGCCCTCTACCTGATGGTTTTGAGATTGACATTTTCGCGCGCGAAGCCTATGTTGGCTTAGCCTTTAATGTTCCTGCATTCGCCCATACGAAAAGCTGGCGTCCGTTGTGTTACATGTCGGAATGACATCGTCGGCCGCCTGCTTTTTTTTTCTTGGTGGATGGCTGCGCTGTCAGCAAACAAACCCCGCCTGGGTTCCTGTACCGGCGAAAATACACTCGTCGCCATTGCCTCGCCTAGACAGTGAGTGTACAGCTGTCTCGGCATCATCCGCCAGATTATTTCTGTAGCTGATCGTACCTGCAGCCACCGATAATCTTGCTTTGCCCATGAGCAAACAAGGCATTGACACTTACAACTGTGCTGTGTCAGGAGGAGGGAGGAATCCTTCCGCTGCTGTGCTACCCCTTTTCACCAAGTATCACGTCCCGAGGAGTATTGATAGACGACCTTGTTCCACTCAACGGGATACACATGTTCACTACTTGGAGCGACACACCCACGGCTCAAGCACGAAGATCTCCGAAGTTGCCTGCAAGATGCCGAATTCTAATTCGCCTCGCAAGCTTGTCTAAAGTTGGTGCCTTGAGAGAGCAGAGCGGACACACATACCTACACACACATCTACACACACACACATACGCACACACACACACACACCCTGCAAGCAGCCAGGTCCGTCAGCATGAAGCTCCGAAGCTGACAGGTGATATTTGTGCTTTCGGGACCTTGCAGCTCCGAATTACGAAAGGTGGTCATAGACCGGTGTAGTTTGCCATTGTGATACCTCAGACCGCAGCGGGTTTGTTCGTTATGCAAAGTTACGCCACATCCACGGTCTCGGGACCGCTCCGCTCAGCTCTGCAAAGACCAAGATAGGTCAACGAGAGACCAGTGTACCGGATGCACTCGGCAAGCTCGCTCTCTCAGACTCTCTCGTATACGGGCTCCTTCTTCGTGAAACGACCGCGGGCTTTTGCGGGTTGCTTTTTGCCTATCCAGATGCGGTGCATCGACCGGGCTGAGACTTCTTAACGTTGCTTTTTTCTTTCTCCCGCTTCCAAGGTCGCGAGATCGCAGCAATCACCCGTAGTTGGGGGGTAGGGCCCCGAGGAACCCGGGACAATGACGAGGCGAGACGATGATGTGTTGCAAATGTGTGCTTGATTTTTCCTGTACCTTGAGCTGGATCATCGTCGACGCAAGCTACTTTGTGAAAGGCCCTTCAATACTCCCGCGTTTGTAGGCGAAATCAATGCAGCGGCAGCCAGACGAGTTGAAGTCAGGGACTCGCCTGACTCGGCTGAAGGAGGATATTCTTGGATCCTGGGGTTGCACATGTCGAGTACACGGCATACGGGGGGACTTTGTCTCCAAGGCTAAAGACATTGTCTTGGGTCCTTCGGGGTACCTCTACTCGGTTCGGCACACGCCCCCCTTCGGTGAAGGTAGAGGGATGATGATGTTTGTTTTGTTGTTGCACTGGAGCTGCTGCCCCGGATCAAAATAAACATCACGGATCTCACGCGACACAGCTTATTAGGGATCTTCAGGCTTGGGGGAAAGAGGACTCCATTTCGAGAACTATCTCGCATCTGAATCCAACAAGTGCTCCCTTGACGAGACAACGGCGGGGAAAGAAGATTAGTTTGTATTTGCCCTTTCTCGCGCACTGGCCGGTTGATAGGTTTTGCCGTTCATCCTCTGTCTCCTCTACTCCCTTGTATGGAGCTCCGAGGACTTATTTGGCTCCAAGGGCCAAGGGAACGGTAAAAAGCGTACGATGTTGTCATACTAAAGTCTGTACAGGCCAAGTCTATTCTTGCTCTATCGATTCATTAGCAGAGCCTCCATTCCTCACGCCAGAGTAGTCAGTCAGTCGTAGACAACTACACTAAGGCTTCGAAACGAGGGCGTCGGTAAACTCCAGCGTGACGACACCGTCGCGACTCTCCACGACCTTGACAGAATCGAGGTCTCTGACGATCCAATCGGGTTCCGCGTCCACGACCTGCTCAACGGTGTGGCTCGTGACGAGGCCCAGCACCTTACACCCAGCCTCCTTACCGGCCCTGATGCCGGCGGGGCTATCCTCGAGGACGAGCACCTGCTTGGAAGCGTCTCCCAGGCCCAGCTTCGCGCGGCCAATGCGGTAGCAGGTCGGGTCCGGCTTACCGTTCTCGACGGACTCGGCGGTGACGAGGTGTTGAGGCTGCGGCAGCTTGAGCGCGTCGAGCCACCCGCCCACAAGGGGTTCAGTCCCCGAGGTGACGATGGCCCAGGGAGCCGACTTCGCGATGAGGGCGTCGAGGAGTGCCCTTGCCCCAGGGATCTCGACGGCGTCTCCCCCGTAGAGTTTCGGGAGGCGGCCTTCCATCTCACGCGTGTCTGTTCATCTCCTGTTAGCCTTTCCTTCGCGAACCCCTGAGTTCATCACCGTCTCATCCCCCCCTTGCGTCATGTAGG